GGCCCCCCTGGGGACCCCCCTGAGTTTGAGGGTCTTGGGTACTGGCTGGAGAAGGCCCTCCTGCAGCAGAAGAGTTGTGGGGCCCGGGAATACAATAAAGAACTAAAGTTGGTTCTACAAAAGACCCCTTTAGCCTTCTGCTGCTGCTGCTGCTGCTGCTGCTGGTGGTTTGCTGCAGCAGGAGCTGCGCCTACCAAGCTGGCTGACGTCTTCAAGCAAAGGGACATCAATGCGGTCTTCTGCAGCAAAGGGAAACAGCAGAGGACACGGGACAAGGCGGGGTGTACAGACACCTGAGGCCTCGGCTTAGCGTCGCACAAGCTGCTGCAGCAGATAAGCGGCAGCTGCAGCATCAGGTGGAACTTGAAGAAACAAAAACTAATTTTTTGATTTTGAAACCACTGGTTCATCTCTGGGCCTGCGACACTGAGCGGGAGCTGGACAGACAGCGCGCCGGTGTCTGCGCGCCGGGAGGTCGAATTGAAAAAAAAGAAAAATACTTTTAAATTAATCTCACCGGGTGAACTAAACGCTGGAAGAACAAAAGAAAGCAGAATAAAGGGCAGGAGCTGCAGAAGCCGCGGAGATCTGCGCCTGGGTCCGCGCCGTTGACCGTTCCGATTTGCATCTTCAGGTGGAAAGCGGCGGCTAAAGAGCGGCATTGTCTGCTGATCCTCAAAAATTCAAGTTTAAAAGAGTCAAGTTAAACTTATGGCCCGGGAAAATTGGAGGTTTCCCTGGAAAAAGTGGCTCTATTGAGCAGCCGCATCCCTGAGAAGGAACGACGCGTATCAGCAACTCGCACAGTCGCGGCCGTAATGCTGGTCTCAATCTGTTTCAGATCCTCAGCACTGGTGTCTTTGCTTCTTCTTGTTTCGAAAAAAACTCAAAAATCGAATTTCAAGAACAGATCCCGGCAAAATTGTTTCCTTAATTGCTGCGCAGCGGTCAGGCGGCCTTGCTCAGCGTTGCTGGCCCAGACAACGTGAGGTGTACGTACACCTCAGGACGCGGGTCCGCGCCAGCTACGCGGCGAGGCCCTATACTTTTCTTTCCTTCTTTGAATTAATGATTTCTATTGTCTTCTGTATCTTCTTTCAAGATATGTTTGTTATTTTTGCTCGATCTACTCTGCTGCCACCTGCGGCTTCCGTAAACCGGCTTGGGCGGGTCCTTGTGCTGCTCAGCTGCTGCATGCGAAGGCGCTCACCACTTGGGCCATTCCTCGGGAGTAGTTGTTGAATTTGCGTTGAATTTTGGAGTTCTTTGCATATTTTTTGCATTAATTTCCCGTTTTGGACCATTTAAACGCCTTTTCCCGCCCTTTTAGCCCCGCTTTCCACCTCCCGAGGCGAAAATGATAGAAGTCATCTTGAACGACCGCCTAGGCCGCAAAATTCGCGTCAAGTGCAACCCCGATGACACCGTAGGAGACCTCAAGAAACTTGTGGCTGCGCAGTGTGGTCAGTTAGCAGCAGCCCCCAGGCGTAGCCAGGGCGCTCACAGCCTTTCAACTGCTGCTGCTGCTGCTGCTGCTGCTGCTCTTGCTGCTGCTGCTGCTGAAGTAGTGCCACGAAGGTTCTCTCGTGCCTTCCCTCCCCACACGCAGCAGCAGCGGCAGCAGCAGAGCTAGCGCCCCTTTCGCGTGTTTGTTCTTTCCTCACACAGCAGCAGCAGCAGCAGCAGCAGCAGCTCCAACAGGAGCGTTTTTAGGGTGTTCCCGTTATTAGCATGTTCTACTTCCTCCCTGATTTGACGGCCCTAACTGCTCTTGCTGCTGCTGCTGCTGCTGCTGCTGCTGCTGCTGCTGCTGCTGCTGCTTGCAGGGACGCGTCCAGACAAGATTAGGATTCAGAAGTGGTACACAGTTTACAAAGATCACATAACTTTGGAAGACTACGAAATCCACGACGGCATGGGACTTGAGTTGTACTACAACTAATTGGATTCATTATTTATATTATTATTATATTTATTATTATTTTTGTTATTATTTATGTTTATTAGTATTAAGTTACTATTATATTATATTGTTGTTGTATTATTGTCTATTCTTTTCTTTGGAAAAGAAAAAAAAGATTAAAAAGGCATTTTAGTGCTTTTTGAATTTTCGTCAAAAATTCCTATATTTCCCCTTTTTGGTCTTCTTGATTCTTTCTGTCTTCTCTTTTAGTCTTTTTCTGAATTTATTTTATTCTTTTTCTCCATTTGTTTTATTCTTTTTCTTCATTTATTTTATTCTTTTCTTTCTTTCATTTAATCTTTTTCTCTTTTCCCTTTATTCCTTTTTCTCCCTTTCTTTTGATGGCCTATTTCCACTCTTTTCGCCTCCTGCTGCTGCGGCCTGTTAGGGCTGCAGCGCTCAGCAGCAGCAGCAGCAGCAGCTGCAGCAGCAGCAGCAGCGGCTGCAGCAGCAGCAGCAGCGGCTGCAGCAGCAGCAGCAGAGTTTCTTTCTCACAGTTTACTTGATATTACTGATTGTTTTTTATTTATTTATTGTATTCACTTTATTTATTATTCGGTGGACTCATTTCTGGGACAGCAGCAGCAGCAGCAGCAACAGCAGCTGAGCCAGGGCGCAGCAGAAGATAGATCGCTAATTAACGCAATTAAAAAGAATAAAAATTAAAATTAGAACAAAATATATAAAATAATAAAAGAATCAATAAATAAATAAACGCGGATTAAATGCTGCAGGAAGCGGCGGGGCAGCGAAGGCTGGGGTGTCTGTACACCTGAAATCTGGGGAGGCGTAGCGCCGATTGCGCAATTTGAGAATTCAGGATTAATTTATTTCTTTTTTGTTTCCAGAGTTTTCAATTAGTTATTTTTTGCAAATTATATATCGGTTTTTGCAACTTTATTTTCATAAAGGCAATTTTATTTGCTGCTGATTCCGTTTGGGTGCTTTCGCGCTGCTGCTTCTTTTGCGCTTTTCTGCTGCTGCTGCTGCTCGTGAAGAAGACAAATAAAAAAGACAATTAAATTAAATTAAATTAAATTAAATTAAATTAAATTGAATTAATGGATTAATTAATTGAATATTGGCCCACTGTGGAGCTGTACGTACACTCGAGCAAGAAACACCCGTGCATGCTAAAAAAACAAGAAAGAAGATAAATCAAATATTTTAAATTCCGATAAGGAGATAGAAGAAAATAAATCAAATGTGACAAACAGCATTAAAAATGAAGGGAGGAAACAATTCAAATTCAAAAGAATTCTATAAATATATATGCACATATGTAAAAATATATGTGCATGCATGCAAAAGTACAAAAAGTAATTTTAAATGGATTCAAATGAATAAAGGAGCACTTCGACAATTCTTTTATGCATTTTATTATCCTAAAAGTTTTTTTAGACCACTTGGCTTTTTGAATTAAATGAATTTAATTTAATTATTTCTTAAATGAAATTAAATTGAAAATAAAACATATTTTATTTGCAGTACACTGCAAGCCATTTTGAAAATGAAAAAATTTAATTCATTTAAATGAATTATTTAAATGATTAAATGAATTAACTTTAAAAGGCATTTTTTAAAGTCCCAAATCTTTTAAAAGTCTTCAATTAGAAACTTCATTTTTAAAATTATTTTGCCAACAAATTCAACGCCACAAATGCTCAAATGAGAAGTAACAAAACACAAAAATGTTGTTTTCTTTTTTGCCAACTTAATTTTTAATTTTCAAAAATTAAAATTAAAATTAATTTAAACTGCGGGGCGGCCCAAGGCAAAGACAACTGGCAGCAGATCCTGTGGAACTTCAGAGGCAAAAGAAATATCAGAAATTGCTTAGCTAGCTACAACTAGCTACAACTAGCTACAACTAGCTACAACTGGCTACAGCTAGCTACAGCTAGCTACAGCTAGCTGCACCTAGCTACAGCTAGCTGCACCTACCTAAACCTAGCTACAGCTAGCTACACCTAGCTAAAGCTAGCTACACCTAGCTGAAAGTGGCTGCAGCTGGCCACAGGCAGCTGGCTGCAGCTAGCTACAGCTAGCTACACCTAGCTGAAAGTGGCTGCAGCTAGCCACAGCTAGCTGGCTGCAGCTATATGGCTGCAGCTATGTGGCTGCGGCCAGCTGGGCGCAGCTAGCTCAGGGCGGCTAGCTAGCTATAGTTAGTGTAGCTAGCTGTAGCTAGCTGCAGCTAGCTGTGGCTAGCTGTAGCTAGCTATGGCTAGCTGTAGCTAGCTGTGGCTAGCTGTAGCTAGCTGTAGCTTGCTAGCTACAACCAGCTTGCTGCAGCTAGCAGTCAGCAGCTAGCCATGGAGTGAACAGCTAGCTGCGGCGGGGCCTAGCTAGCCCCAGCTAGCCACGGCTGTGGAGCCTTTGCTAGCTGCAGATGGCAGCAGCAGCTAGCTGTAGCTAGCCGCTGCAGCCCTCAGCTAGCCACAGCTAGCTGCCGCTGCGTTTAGCTGCGGGCAGCAGCAACAGGGGATAATCTGGGGCCCTGCAGCTGCTGCTGCAGATAGAAGGAACTCTTTTTGCTGCTGAGTGTTTATTTGATTTATTTAATTTAATTTTGATTTGAATTTCAACTCCAATCGGAAAAGTCCTTCGGGCTTTCGCTGAGGTGACCGGCGCGGCCACCGGACTCGAGGGAAACGGGGGGCACGTTGGCTCAATTTGTCGGCAAATTTGTTGCAATAAATGCAGAAAAGTAAATTGAATTGATTTAAATGATTAAATTGATTAAATAAATTCAAAAGACTGGCAAACTGGCGAAGACAGCAGGCGGCGGCTGCTGCTGCTCCCAGCAGCAGCGCCGGCGGCGTGGTCAGTGGAGCGGTGGCGCCATTTCTCTCTATTTGCGGGTCAAAATGCTCCATTTTGTGTTTAATTTGTAAAACTTGGAAAACAAACTGCAAAAATAAATTATTTTAAACGCAATTGACTGCCTTTAGACCTCAACAGCCCCCGCCGGTTGTTGAATTCCAGAGGTGCCGCTGCCGACAGCACGCGCGCAGACTCCGCGTCCGAGCCGCCATTTCCAGCTGCCTAGCTTTGTCTTTGTCGTTTGCAACTTCATTTAATGTTAAATTGTCTTTTATGAATTCAAAATTTTGGCAAAAATTGCGAAAATCTGGGCTGGAGCTGCAGCGGAGCGAGCGGTGACCAGTGGTCCACTGGCAGCAATGGGCCGCCGCGGCCTCCCGGCAGCAGCAGGAACAGCAGCAGCAGAGGACGAGGCGAAGCAGCAAAATGAAAAGCTGAGGAGCCAAACAGCTGCTGCTGTTGCGGCAGCTCTTGCTGCCTGCAGGCCAGCAGCAGCAGACGCAAACGACAATGAACAAACGAGAACTTCTTCCCCCTCCAGCGTCCCCTGCCTGTCGTTTCCTTCTGCGCAGAAGCAGCAGCAGCAAGAAGCCAAAGCCGTGGCAGCAAAGGCAGCAGCAGCAGCAGCAGCAGCAGCAGCAAAGCCGGCAGCAGCAGCGGCAGCAGCGGCTCGCGGCGTTTCTCCCGCCCGCTTCCTGTGGGGCCTCCTGAAGCGGGGTGTCTTGGCAGCTTCCCTCGCGTTTGCATTTTTTCTTTTTATTTCTTTTCCATTTTTTCCTTTTTTGGATTTGCTGATCGCAGTTGACCCGTCTCCGCTGCGCAACTTCTCCGTCGCTTGCCTCTACCCGATTCCTGCTCCTGGATCGGGCGCCTCGAGCGAGCTGATCTCGGCGAAAGCAGCAGCAGCAGCAGCAGCAGCAGCAGCAGCAGCAGCAGCGCCTGCGGACGCCTCCCCCTGCGCGCAGCTGCTGCACGCGCTCCGCAGCTGGGGCTCTCAGCCGCCCTTTTCCACTTTCGTCGTTCTCGCCCAGTCCAGTGCCCTGTGCGCTCTGGAGGGAATTCGAAAGCTCGGGGGGGCCCCCCTGGTACCCTCCGAAGCTGCTGCACGGAAAGCCGTGCAAAGTTGGGGCCCCATCCTCGCCACAGTGCTGCTGCTGCCGCGTTTGTCGCACTCGCCGGTGCAGCTGCCGTGCGAGTCTTGGGTGTACGTACACTCCACGCCGAACACCCTCGACATGGTCAGCGACGCGATCCGCACGGAAAGCGCCGGAATTAAGCGCGATTACGCGGATGTTCCGACTCTAAATCAAAAAACAATTCCAATTAATCCAAACTTCGACGAAAATGCTCCACTTTTCCCCCTCCAGACCTTCGACTTCGTCGTGGTCGGCGGCGGAAGCGCCGGCTCCACCGTCGCCGGACTCCTCAGCAAGTTCGGGCTCGACGAAGCGGAAGAAAAGGAAGACACTTCTTCTCAAAACGAAAAGCTTGGCGAAATAAACAACTCCAGTTCAAACTCGAACGCAGCAAACAGCCCCGCCGGCGAGCCCGGCAGCCAACACCCCAGCCACCAGCAGCAGCAGCAGCAGCAGCAGCAAGGCAGCCAAAACAAAGCCAAAAGACGCAAAAGAAAACCAAATATACTCCTCATAGAGGCGGGGGGGTGGCCAGACTTGCGCTCCTTCTCTCCCGTGAGAATTCCCGCAAGGACATTTGAAGGCCAGACCAGCGATATGGACTGGAAGGTGAAAACCGAGAAGCAGCAGTTCGCCTGCCAGGTAAACGCAGCAGCAACTGCAGCAGCAGATGCCGCAGCAGGCGCAGCAGCAGGTGCAGCAGCAGGTGCAGCAGCAGGTGCAGCAGCAGGTGCAGCAGCAGTTGCAGCAAGGCTGCAGCAGCTAATGTAGCGGCAACTGCACCAGCAGAGGCAGCAGCACTGCAGCAGTAAATGCAGCAGCAAGTGCAGCAGAAACTGCAGCAGAAAATGTAGCAGCAAGTGTAGCAGCAGATGCAGCAGCAAGTGTGAAGAGGATATAGAAGCAAATGGAACGGCAAACGAAGCAGCAAACGCAGTAGCAAAGGCCGCAGCAACTGCGGCAGCAAATGTGACAGCAACAGCAGAAGCAGCAGCAAGCCCGAAGGCAGTCTTTAGTGTTAAAAGCCGAAGAACAGCACAGTTTAAATAGTGTTTGTGCTGCTGCAGTCCTGCTGCTGCCGCGTTGCTGCAGTTCTTCCGCTGCTGCAGCTCATTCTCTGTTGCATTTGTTTTGCTGCTGCGGCTCTGCTGCTGCATCTCCCCGGCCGCTGCATCTCCCGCGTTGCTGCCGTCCTCTGCTGCTGCCGTTGCTGCTGCACGGGGGGCGCTGCTGCCGCCGCTGCTGCTGCAGCCGCGCGCCCGCAGCAGCAGCAGCAGCAGCAGCAGCAGCAGGTGGGTGCTGCTGTTTGCTGCTGCAGGGCCTGCGCGGCGGCCGCTCCAAGTGGCCCCGCGGCAAAGCCCTGGGGGGCAGCAGCTTGCTGAATTATTTGCTGTTTGTGAGAGGAGCAGCAGCAGACTACAGCAGCTTTGCGCGCTGCAGCGGCAGCAGCAGCTGGCTGCCGCAAAACGTCAACAGGATCTTCAAAAACATCGAAACCGTCAACTTCCCCGCAGACAAAGACATCAGGTGAGCGGCTGCTGCTGCTGCTGCTGCTGCTGCTGCTGCTGGTGCTCGTGGTGGTGGTTGTGGTGGTTGTGGTGGTGCTGTTTGTGCTGCTGTTGCTTTGCTGCTTCACTTGCCGTTGCTGCAGCTGACTTGCTGCTGTTCTGCTGCTGCTTTGCTGCTGCTGCTGCTTTGCTGCTGCTGCTGGAGGCGCGCGAGTTTGGCTTTTGTTTTGCTGCTGCAGAGGCAGCAGCGGGCCAATTCAAGTTAACATTCAGCAAGCCCTGGACTTGCCTGTTTTGGCTTTCTTAAGAAGCGCAGAAGGCCTTGACAGGAGCCTCCGGGGCTCCCCGCTGCAGCAGCAGCAGCAGCAGCAGCAGCAGCAGCGGAGGCCGAGGCGGCGCGGGCCCCGCGCTAAGGCGCTGCGGACCTTTCCCGAGAGGCTGCGGCTGCGGCTGGAGGCGCAGCAGCAACAGCAGCAGCAGCAGCAGCAGCAACAGCAGGCAGCAGCAGAGGAGCAGCAGCAATTTGAAATAAACCAGGACTACAACGGCAGCAAAATGACAGGTCCTTCTCTTTTTCAATTTAACACAAAAGAAGGAAAACGCTGGGGACCTCTGGAGGCGTTTTTGCTGAAACGGCGGCTCGATGAGGCGGGTCTTTGAAGTTCAGAAAAAAAAAATAAATTCAATTTAAATTGCAATTAAATTGAATTTAAATCAAGTTTAATTGAATTTAAATTAATTTAAGCTAAATTTTAACAAACTTTAAACCAAATTCAACTTGAATTCAACTTGAATTCAACTTGAGTTCAAGTTGGATTCAAGTTGAATTCAAGTTGAATTTGATTTAAATTCGATTTAAATTCGATTTGAATTTGATTTAAATTAATTTGAATTTGATTTAAATTAATTTAAATTAATTCAAATTCAATTTAAATTAAATTCATTTTTCATTTTAATTCGAAATTCAAATTCAGTTCCAAATTTTATCCAGATTGCGCCCGAAACTCGCCAGCCGCTTTCTGCATTCAAATTCGGAATTCAACTTTGAATTAAATTAAAATTGAACTAAAACTAAATTAAAATTAAATTAAAATTTGAATTAAATTAAAATTAAATTAAAATTAAATTAAAATCAAGTTAAAATTAAATTACAAGTGAATGCACAATAAGCTTAATCGCATCCAAATTGAATTCACAATCCAAAATTCAGATTCTGCGTAATTATTGATTTATTTAGTTATTGATTGATTGATTGATTTATTATTTATTTATTTATTTATTTATAAATTTATTTATTTATTTTTTATTATTTATTATTATTTATTTTTAATTTTTTTATTTATCGCCGCTACACTTCACTTTGCTTTCCTTTCCTCTCTTCTGCAAAACAAACAAATAACCAAGCAGCCAAACAAACAAATAAACAAATTGAATAAACAAAATAAATAAATAAATAAATAAATGAATAAAAAAATAAATAAATGAATAACTAAATAAATAAATAATTTGAATGAATTAATTAATTTGAATTAATTAATTTTGGATTCAGGAAACAGCAAAAGGTGAAGACGGCGGCCCGGCGTTGAAAGTTTTATTTTTTTCTCGGGCGATAAAAATTTTATTTGAAGACGAAAAAGAAGAAAAAGAAATAAAAAAAGAAACAGAAAAAGAAGCAAAAAAAGAAACTGGAGAAGAAATTGAAAAAGAATCCGAAAAGGGAATTAAAAGGGGATTTTGCGGCCTCCAGGACTTCCTTTTTAACTTCCAAAACCCCCAAAAGTGTTTTTCTAATTTTAAAATTAAAAAAAATAATTCAAAAACTCCAAAAAGAAAAAAAGCTGCTGCACTTCTCGTAGTCGACGAAAACAACTGCAGCAAAACTCTCTGGGAAAAACAAATGTGCCAAGTCTACAAAGTAATTAATTAATTAATTAATTAATTAATTAATTAATTAATTAATTAATCAAACTAATTAGTTAATTAATTAATTAATTAACTAATTAAACTAATTAGCTAGTTAATTGATTAATTAATTAATTAAACGAACTAGTTAATTAGCTAATTAATTAATTAATTTAAAAGGTTAGTTAATTAACTAATTAATTAATTCATTAATCAATTAATTAGTTAAACTAATTGAATAATTACCCCAAAAATCGGTTAATTTAATTAATTAATTAATCGATTAATTAGCTAATTAGCTATTCAATTAATTAATTGATATGTTTATTTATTTATTTATTTATTTATTTATTTTATTTATTTATTTATTTATTTATTCAGATTCCAATTCACGGAGAGCTCATTCTAACTGCTGGAGCTGTACATACACCTCAGCTGCTCATGCAATCGGGTGAGGCCAAAAGAAGAAAATAAATAAATTAAGTTTATTTATTATTATTCACCAATAATAAACATATATATAATTAATATTCTAAACAAATAAATAAATATATAATTCATATGCTAAATAAAAATGTAAATAAATAAATAAATAATAAATAAACAAACAAACAAATAAATAAATAAATAAATAAATAAATAAATAAATAAATAAATGGTGGCTTTGGAAACAAATAAAGAAACAGACAGAGCAACAAGAAAAGAAACAAATCCTTTCTTTCCTGCATATTTCATATTTATTTATTTATTTATTTATTTATTTATTTATTTATTTATTTATTTGTTTATTTATTTATTTGTTTATTTATTTATTTATCTATTTATTTATTTATTTATTTATTTATTTGCTTGTTTATTTGTTTATTTATTTATTTATTTATTCATTTATTTATTTTTTTATTTTTTATTTTTAGGTGTTGGAGACGAAGAGGAAATTCGAGCTGCGAATATAACGCCCGTCGTTAACCTTCCAGCCGTCGGCAAAAACCTCCAAGTATATAAACACGATTTGGCTAGCTAGCTAGCTAGCTAGCTAGCTAGCTAGCTAGCTAGCTAGCTAGCTAGCCAGCCAGCCA